CTGCTGAATCGTTGTTTTTGGGCACTGCTGTTTCAAGATGAGATGTTCCACAGATCATTTCTATACAAATATAAATCTAAAGAGTTGTTCAACTATTTTATTAACTTAGATTATATCGATAAAATATTTGTTGTGTGTAGTAAGACTCTGCAGCTTTAATAAAAATAACAGAAGATTTGAGTGTTGTTACTTTTTTTTTTTTTGGAGTTGGGCTGGATTTTTGGATTGTATTATTTATTTTATTTTTTTAGCTGGGCTTCTACACTTTGTCTACAGCTGATGCCTGCTGATCCACTTAAGGTTGCGTTTCAGAGCGGTAATGTGAGAACACTGAGGTCTCAGTAAGATTTGTAGAGTTCTTCATGCTAAAAAGAAATTCGTGTTGTGTGACACTGAGGCTCTTTGGTGTTTATGAGGATGCTTTGAGGCTGGTGGTCCACAGAGAAATACATTCCGGTGTTACTTTGCCACAAAGACAGAGGCTGTCTGATCTCAGAGGAGACCACGTAAGATTAGGGTCTCCTAGAAAGGTAGCTCATCCTGATTTTGCTCTGGATCATTGAATCCGGTATGATATCACTAGAGCCAATCAATCCTTGCTAGTATTTAGAAAGATTTAAGTTCAGAGCCTTTCCTGCAAAGGCTGTTGTCACTTGCTTCTTAAGCAAAAGGAAGTTTCTTAGCATTGTAGTAATACTAAGAACATGAGAAGTACGCCTGGTCAGGTGGGGGTGGACATTCGATAGCTTGTTCCCCCAGAGACAAGTGGTGGGTGTTGAGGGAAGCGGGGAGTCACCACCGCACGAAGCCTGTCCAGCTCGCAGGAAGGTCCAACGAGCTTTGTGTCAGCTTGCCTTCAGACCCCTCTGCTTCACACCGACCCCCAGACCCATTCTCCGTGAGTTTGCCTCGTCCCTTTTTTTGACTCTTTGGCTTCTGTTAAGTCCCAAAGCAATGTTTTTCACAGTTTAATTCTATGCTGTGTTTATTTCAAAACCTATTGCCTCATTGGTTGACCATTATATTGTGAGAGAGAATGAATGGTCATTTCCCATCGCCTTTTTTTTCCACTATTCTTGACTTTAAAGATGTATGTCGTATTCCCTCCTACTTGTTTTTTCTCAGATGAATAGTCTAACCTCCTTCTTGCATGAAAGCTGTTTCATGCCTCTGATAATCTCTGTTTCTCATCTCTGTGTGTTTCCTGGTCCTACGTTATCCTTTTTGAGAGCGTCACTAGAACGGCAAGTCGTGTTCAAATGTACTAAAAAAATAAGGCTTATAACGCAGCTGAACAAGTCTGACAGTCCGCTCAGAAGACGTTTGGCATGTCCATTCACGCCATCAGTACTAACATGTAAGGAATAGCACCTAAGCACATGGATATCTATTTGTCTGATTATTTTCAATAAACTTGTCACCAAAGGGATCTCTCATCCAAGTGGCAGTACTGACCAGTGACAACATTTTGCATTTTACAATGGATATTCTGAGACCAACTGGTTTTTTTCTTCCTTTTGTTGTCACAACTAGCATCAGGGACAAAACCTTTAAATCTTATTACCAGTGAAGCTGGAAACTATGCAGAGGACGTGATGAGATCATGCTTGAAAAGTATAGTTTGAGGGCTCTGTGATTTAACTCTTCCCAAGTGATATGCTGACCTCCGGAGGCCACAGGCAGCTGGTATAATTTTAATTCTTACCCTAAACAGTATCCCTGCCAGCACAGGCCAGAAAGCTATGTACCCAAGGAAACTCCAGCTATCATCTCTCTTCACCCTCAGTGGTTCCTTGCAAATATTCGGTCCAGCTAGAAACGACGTCTCAGTATCCCTGTTAGTTTACACAGCTTGGTGGATGTAACCAGGATGCTAACGCAGGGTGGGGGCACACAGTCGGTCTTCAGGTCGGTGCGTGGGACCGTGTACACGCAGTGAGCTCTGCATCACCAGACAAGGTAGTACCAACAGCTTCACGGCAGATGCCTTTAAAGCCTTCCAGGTCATCACGCCTTGCCATTGCGATGTCCCTCTCAGAGCCCCTCTTCTTTCACCCCCTCTCCTTTCCCCCCAAAAATATACCTTGATAGCATTATTGTACGAGCAGGGCAGAGGAGTGCTTATGGCTTCATGAACTTCTACTAGTTCACGGCAAGAAAATTTTGCAGATGATGGCAATCAGCTATAAAGCTGATTTTTCTGTCGTCGCACGCTAACGATGGAGATGAATGGGTATCAAAGGGAGTGTCGTAGGCTGGGGAGACTGGGACTCAGCTCCATCCTGCGGCGCTGCCAGCCGAAGGGTCTCAGAACGAAGACCAGGTGGTTCAGATCACAGGTAGCCATCTGCTGATAGCCCTGACTGTGTGAGGGGCAGTGGGAGATAAAAGGAGCTTCCCTTTGACAAAGTAAACCATGATTTTGACATTTCAGAATTGGTATGAAGAGGTTTTGAGTCACATCCTGATCTCACACAGCACCTGCCAGCCGAAGGGTCTCAGAACGAAGACCAGGTGGTTCAGATCACAGGTAGCCATCTGCTGATAGCCCTGACTGTGTGAGGGGCAGTGGGAGATATGGAGGTATGAAGAGGTTTTGAGCCACATCCTGATCTCACACAGCACGATGGTGTAACTGACTCTAAAATAACTGCAACCACAGAGTTACACCAGCATAACGATAGCATCGATGTGGTCAGAATCAACAGGTATCACTACAGGTAAGAGTTTTGACACTTGTTCCCTAAACCCTTTCCAGTGTAATTTTTAACCTTACTCAGGCATGCTGCAGAGCTGATTTCCGTGATTCCACCTCACAGAGAGTTTTGACGAAAAATTCAGTGTAAGGGCCCTCGTTAACATCTGGGTTGAGATTAGGTAAGAGTGTCAATAGTTCAGGGAGGCTTTGTGGTTTTGCAGTAATGAAAGCAAGGTCCGTGTTTTGTTCCCACCTCAGAAACTATTTCCTGTGTGACTTTTGGCAAGGTAGTTGCCCGTCTGTAAAACGGAGATATTATCACTTATGCTGTGAAATATAATTTAAAACTTCCTAATGGAAATACACTCACCATTTTATGGAAGGTATCATTTACACAGGAAATACATATTAAAATGTAAATGAATATATTTGTAAAGGAAGGATGCTGTAGGGTCCACAGTGGACATTCTTGTTTTGTGATAAGGCCACCGGTTTCACCTAGTCTACGCAACTTCAGAAAGGTCTTAAGCTGAACTGGAAAATGACGTGCCAGAAGAAGACCCTCCACTTGTGCATACTATTACTCTACCTGTATAATTACAGCAGTCTGTTGGTGGACTTTTCCCTGCCAGATTCTTAATTCTTGCTCTCCGGATCCAGGAGGAGAGAGAACGGATTTCTCTTGGAATTAGTGTAACCAACACTTCACCTCCATCCTCATCCTCAAGTATGTAAGGACTCTCTCCTGAAATCACAAGAAAATAAAACGTTCCAAAAACTACGGTAAAAATAAAAGCAGAGATGATTTAAAGGCATAGGCAAAAAGCACAATAATCTGAATATGACTTCATTAGCGGATATTCAAATGCGTTGTCCTTTATATGTTTTCAATATCAGCAGTATTTTAAAAGGCGTATCATCCTTCAAGATTTCCCTTCTTTGTCCCCATTATTCAATGTCATGGTAGCAAGATGAGAGCATTACCATCGATATCACTTTTTTAATTCCATGCCCTTGAAGAAGGGCAATAAGAACCCCGCATAATAGAGTTTTCAGCGGAGAGAGTAAATGGGAATCGGTTGTTAATTCAATACAGGATACAGAAGCTTTCTCTCCCATCTCTTTTTCTCAAGGTAATACTGTGCCTCCAATTGTCATTATACCCAAGAATCAAATTATTTGAATTCTGGACACATCAGCACAAAACCGAAGACTCCCTGCCAATTTCATAGCCTGCTTGGAAGAGAACATCAGAGAGCATCACTCATTTATACGACTGCCAGCCTGAGACTGTAAATTCAGAAAACAAGAAGGCCTCAGGTGCTGCACTTTAACATGTCTTTCTGCTCCTGAATCACCCCCCCCTTACCACCCCCATCACATACAAGGTAACATTTTATCTCCGAAAGGCAAAGCTTTCAAGCATCTGCCAGGGCGAGCATAGACTCTGTATGGCCTGAACGTGAATTGAAAATGAGACTATTAAGTATATTAATTGATAACAGTCACTTGTGACTTTGAAGGAGATTCATGACACTTGGAAAAATAATCTATAAAGATTGTTGTTGCTCTAAAAAGACAGTGCAGCATCAGCTTATTTCACTTGCAGCAGGTTCATCTCTTTTATAGAGCATTCTGCACTGCAGGCAAAGGGAATTTTAATGGACACTGGAAAAAATGATCTATTCCTCTGTCCCACAACAAAAAAGAAACCATAAAAAGATATAGAACAGAGAGATTGAGATACGATAGCAGAAAACATTTAAGGAACTATAATTAAATTAAGCTTCAGAAGTCTGTCAATGAGATGAAGATTAAACTGGCAGAAAGTTGAACCTTGTTTGAAGCAACTTGTTCCCTCCTGCTGTGGGTTATTTTGTACCAGGCTAATGAGAAGGCACATCTCTGACAGTTTCCTAATAAACCAGCAGATCTCTGATGGTTAATTAATAAACATATTTTGCAGGAATATACCATGTTCCGTTCAATGCTTTTCAAGTGCCTTGCCAGCATTAATGCGTTAATGCATTACTCTTTCTCTTTTTAAGCTACAAGTCCCATTCCATAGGTGGGGAAACCGAGGCACAAGATGAACATGACCTGCTTAAAAATCACCCAGTAACTCAGCCAGACTTCTAGGAGAGCAGAAGCTTGATCTCTTGGCTTCGGTGTGACCATTGCATCACAGACCATTTTGCAACCGCTGACGAAGCGGGTATGGGTACCGCACGGCCTGACCTGTCTGGGAGTGGGGGATCTCAAA